GTACGCGTGGACAAATCAAACACGGGCAGTGCGTTGCACCAGAAAAATGAAAACAGTCATCACATTTCTTATTTTAAACGGCCACGTAACATCCACAAATATACAATTGTCCGACGTTCTGGGCAACGGCCCTTCTTCACAGCAGTACAGTATGCGTGTGTCTACTGTGTACATACGTCTCTATATATATATACAAAAGGCACAGAGAGGCTTGTGTTAATGTAATGATTGTGAAAGTGCGTGTGTCTGTGCGAGTGTGTGCGTGTGGGGAGCGGTAGTGGAGTTGTTATCGGGGCTCCGCTACGAACCCGGTAACCCGAGTTCGATTTTCCCGCTCACGGCCAATACCGGTGACGGTTATTGAACCGGTCTTGGGCCTCCCCTAGGTCGACTCAGCCTCAAATGAGTGCCGTGCCGGCTTTCGTACGTGCTACTCGCTAACAGCATTTGCTCCTCACATTCACCCTCCACGCACTCTCCTGCCTCTCCCCTCTCATCTCACTCCATTCCCCTCCACGCACTCTCCTGCCTCTCCCCTCTCATCTCACTCCACTCCCCTCCACGCACTCTCCTGCCTCTCCCCTCTCATCTCACTCTACTCCCCTCCACGCACTCTCCTACCTCTCCCCTCTCATCTCACTCCACTCCCCTCCACGCACACTCCTGCCTCTCCCCTCTCATCTCACTCCACTCCCCTCCACGCACTCTCCTGCCTCTCCCCTCTCATCTCACTCCACTCCCCTCCACGCACTCTCCTGCCTCTCCCCTCTCATCTCGCTCCACGCCCCTCCACGCACTCTCCTGCCTCTCCCCTCTCATCTCACTCCACTCCCCTCCACGCACTCTCCTGCCTCTCCCCTCTCATCTCACTCCACTCCCTTCCACGCACTCTCCTGCCTCTCCCCTCTCATCTTACTCCACTCCCCTCCACGCTCTCTCCTGCCTCTCCCTTCTCATCTCACTCCACTCCCCCCCACGCTCTCTCCTACCTCTCCCCTCTCATCTCACTCCACTCCCCTCCACGCACTCTCCTGCCTCTCCCTTCTCATCTCACTCCACTCCCCTCCACGCACTCTCCTGCCTCTCCCCTCTCATCTCACTCCACTCCCCTCCACGCACTCTCCTACCTCTCCCCTATCATCTCACTCCACTCCCCTCCACGCACTCTCCTGCCTCTCCCCTCTCATCTCACTCCACTCCCCTCCACGCACTCTCCTGCCTCTCCCCTCTCATCTCACCCCACTCCCCTCCACGCACTCTCCTACCTCTCCCCTCTCATCTCACTCCACTCCCCTCCACGCACTCTCCTACCTCTCCCCTCTCATCTCACTCCACTCCCCTCCACGCACTCTCCTGCCTCTCCCCTCTCATCTCACTCCACTCCCCTCCACGCACTCTCCTGCCTCTCCCCTCTCATCTTACTCCACTCCCCTCCACGCACTCTCCTACCTCTCCCCTCTCATCTCACTCCACTCCCCTCCACGCACTCTCCTACCTCTCCCCTCTCATCTCACTCCACTCCCCTCCACGCACTCTCCTGCCTCTGCCCTCTCATCTCACTATACTCCCCTCCACGCACTCTCCTACCTCTCCCCTCTCATCTCACTCCACTCCCCTCCACGCACTCTCCTGCCTCTCCCCTCTCATCTCACTCCACTCCCCTCCACGCACTCTCCTGCCTCTCCCCTCTCATCTTACTCCATTCCCCTCCACGCACTCTCCTGCCTCTCCCCTCTCATCTCACTCTACTCCCCTCCACGCACTCTCCTACCTCTCCCCTCTCATCTCACTCCATTCCCCTCCACGCACTCTCCTGCCTCTCCCCTCTCATCTCACTCCACTCCCCTCCACGCACTCTCCTGCCTCTCCCCTCTCATCTTACTCCATTCCCCTCCACGCACTCTCCTACCTCTCCCCTCTCATCTCACTCTACTCCCCTCCACGCACTCTCCTACCTCTCCCCTCTCATCTCACTCCACTCCCCTCCACGCACTCTCCTGCCTCTCCCCTCTCATCTCACTCCACTCCCCTCCACGCACTCTCCTACCTCTCCCCTCTCATCTTGCTCCACTCCCCTCCACGCACTCTCCTGCCTCTCCCCTCTCATCTTACTCCACTCCCCTCCACGCACTCTCCTGCCTCTCCCCTCTCATCTCACTCTACTCCCCTCCACGCACTCTCCTACCTCTACCCTCTCATCTCACTCCACTCCCCTCCACGCACTCTCCTGCCTCTCCCTTCTCATCTCACTCCACTCCTCTCCACGCTCTCTCCTGCCTCTCCCTTCTCATCTCACTCCACTCCCCTCCACGCTCTCTCCTACCTCTCCCCTCTCATCTCACTCCACTCCCCTCCACGCACTCTCCTGCCTCTCCCTTCTCATCTCACTCCACTCCCCTCCACGCACTCTCCTGCCTCTCCCCTCTCATCTCACTCCACTCCCCTCCACGCACTCTCCTGCCTCTCCCCTCTCATCTCACTCCACTACCCTCCACGCACTCTCCTGCCTCTCCCCTCTCATCTCACTCCACTCCCCTCCATGCAATCTCCTACCTCTCCCCTCTCATCTCACTCCACTCCCCTCCACGCACTCTCCTGCCTCTCCCCTCTCATCTCGCTCCACTCCCCTCCACGCACTCTCCTGCCTCTCCCCTCTCATCTCACTCCACTCCCCTCCACGCACTCTCCTACCTCTCCCCTCTCATCTCACTCCACTCCCCTCCACGCACTCTCCTGCCTCTCCCCTCTCATCTCACCCCACTCCCTCCACGCACTCTCCTACCTCTCCCCTCTCATCTCACTCCACTACCCTCCACGCACTCTCCTGCCTCTCCCCTCTCATCTCACTCCACTCCCCTCCATGCAATCTCCTACCTCTCCCCTCTCATCTCACTCCACTCCCCTCCACGCACTCTGCTACCTCTGCCCTCTCATCTCGCTCCACTCCCCTCCACGCACTCTCCTGCCTCTACCCTCTAAAATCACTCCTTTACCCTCCATGCACTCCCCTACCTCTCCCCTCTCATCTCACTCCCCTCCACGCTCTCTCCTACCTCTCCCTCTCATCTCACTCCACTCCCCCCCACGCACTCTCCTGCCTCCCCCCTCTCATCTCACTCCACTCCCCTCCACGCACTCTCCTGCCTCTCCCCTCTCATCTCACTCCACTACCCTCCACGCAATATCTTGTCCAGTAACCGAGGCTTTCTGTAGAAGTCCTCATTCAACCTTCGCTCCTGGAAAAGCACCGGGAAGAGATGACCTGTGTGTGTGTGCTGCTCTTCACGGCATCATAACAACAGTCTGGACCACAGGATGAGTTTCCCGAAAGGATTGTGAGGATGCCCTGGCGGTCCCCCTCTTTAAGAAGGGAGGGAGGGGGAGAGGGCTGCATAGACTGTGACAACTCCAGGAATTATTCAATGTCGCATTGCCCGGCCCGCCGAGGAGAGGCTTTCGATATTCTTAGGTTTTTTCGGTAAAGTCACGTCGGTAAAAAATAGAAATTAAAATTAATAAAAGTAAAATAAACTAAAAATATTTAATTTATTTTTATTTTATTTTACTTTTATTAAAAAATAAATAAAAGTAAAATAAAATAATAATAATTTATTTATTTTTATTTTATTTTACTTTTATTAATTTTAATTTCAATTTTTTACCTACGTGACTTTACCGAAAAAACCTAAGAATATGAATCCTTGCAGTCACGAAAGCTTCAAATCGAGAGGCTTTCGACCCCGGCGTTCAGAGTGTTTGGACTGCTGCCACGAATTTGGTGAAAAGCCACTTTCGCCGAGCCATCAGCTCGGCGGCGCCTTCGCTGGCAAAGTAAAAAAGAGTTCCACGAGTTTCTCGTTTGGCCTTCGCAACGAAGAACGTCGCATCGGCCGGCGCAGCGTCGCCGCAGACGGAGGGAGGAGCCGCTTCTCACAGCCGCCTCGCAAACTTGTCTCTCTCTCTCGCTCGCTCGCGACGACGACGCGGCCGCATTCACACGGACCTCACCCTCATCCTTCACCCACGGCCCTCACCCACGTCCCTCATTCACGTCGTCTGCCGCTGGTAACGAGGGGCGGCCGCCCCTGCGCAAGCGGGCGGTGGCGGCGGTGGCGGTGGCGGTGGCGGCGGTGGTGGTGGTGGTGGCGGTGGTGGTGGTGGCGGTGGCGGTGGCGGCGGTGGTGGTGGCGGTGGCGGTGGTGGTGGCGGTGGTGGCGGCGGTGGTGGCGGTGGTGGCGGTGGTGGCGGTGGCGGTGGTGGCGGTGGTGGCGGCGGTGGTGGCGGTGGTGGTGGTGGCGGTGGTGGCGGTGGTGGCGGCGGTGGTGGCGGTGGTGGCGGCGGTGGTGGCGGTGGTGGTGGTGGCGGTGGTGGCGGTGGTGGCGGTGGTGGCGGTGGCGGTGGTGGCGGTGCTGGTGGCGGTGGTGGCGGCGGTGGTGGCGGTGGTGGCGGTGGTGGCGGTGGCGGTGGTGGTGGCGGTGGTGGTGGTGGCGGTGGCGGTGGTGGCGGTGGTGGTGGCGGTGGTGGTGGTGGCGGTGGCGGCGGTGGCGGCGGTGGTGGCGGTGGCGGTGGTGGTGGTGGCGGTGGTGGCGGTGGCGGTGGTGGCGGCGGTGGTGGTGGCGGTGGCGGTGGTGGCGGTGGTGGCGGTGGCGGTGGTGGCGGTGGTGGCGGCGGTGGTGGCGGTGGTGGCGGTGGTGGCGGTGGCCGTGGTGGCGGTGGTGGCGGCGGTGGTGGCGGTGGTGGCGGTGGCGGTGGTGGCGGTGGTGGCGGCGGTGGCGGCGGTGGTGGCGGTGGTGGTGGTGGCGGTGGTGGCGGTGCTGGTGGCGGTGGTGGCGGCGGTGGTGGCGGTGGTGGCGGTGGCGGTGGTGGTGGCGGTGGTGGTGGTGGCGGTGGTGGCGGTGGTGGTGGCGGTGGTGGTGGTGGCGGTGGCGGCGGTCGCGGTGGTGGCGGCGGTGGTGGCGGTGGTGGTGGTGGCGGTGGCGGTGGTGGCGGCGGTGGTGGTGGTGGCGGTGGTGGCGGTGGTGGTGGTGGCGGTGGTGGTGGTGGCGGTGGCGGTGGTGACGGCGGTGAAGTCGTCGCGGGAAATAACCGCGGCCCAGCGCGTGGGTGGCGGGGTTTCTTTCTCTCTCTTCAGGAGAGTCCTGCTCGGGATACATCGGCAACCCCGTTGGCGTGAGCGGTTGCGGGTTTTTTGTTGCTGTAGGTTTTTTGTTGTTGTAGGTTTTTTGTTGTTGTAGGTTTTTTTGGTGGGTTCAGCGGATTGCAGCACCCCCAACCTTCTTGCTCTACGTCCCCCCCCCACGAGTTCGCGAGAGTAGCCGCCATCGCGTCTCTCCGCACATCGCTCACGAGACACCCATGAGCACGCTGCAAGTGCGGGGTTTGTAATGGCCACCACCGCCACCGCCACCACCACCGCTCTGTCCAAAGTAAACCCTGGGTGGATTGGGGGTCCCTATGGGGGTCACCTATGTGGTTCCCTGGGGGGTCCCTGGTGGGGTCCCTGGGGGGGTCCCTAGGGAAGTCCCAAGGGGGTCTCTGGGGGGTCCTTAAGGGGGGTCCCTGGTGGGGTCCCTGGTGGAGTCCCTGGGGGGTCCCTGGTAGGGTCCCTGTGGGGTCTCTGGGGTCCCAAGGGGGTCTCTGGGGGGGTCCTAAAGGGGGTCCCAAGTGGGTCCCTGAGGGTTCCCTGGGGGTCCCTGGGGGGTCCCCGATTGCTCCTCACAGCGGCTGCTCCCCGGCACGGAGGGGGCGGAGGAGGAGGGGTCTGGTCGTGTGTCGCGCCACCACCACCGCCACCGCTGGGTCCTCGTGGAGGCGGTTGTCGTCGTCGCCGCCGTCTTGAGATGGCCGCGTTTCTCCGTCGTCAGCGGTCGCGGAGTTGACGATGGAGGCGACGGCGGTGGGCGTGGTGGGCGTGGAAGACGCGAGGGTTGCGTTGGTGTCGGTGGTGCGGTTGTGGTTGGGGGTGGTGTTGGTGGTGGTGGTGGTTGAGACAAGGGCGGCGTTATCGCCGCTCGTGGCGATGGGCACGCTGGTTGCGGTGGTGGCGGTGGTTGTGCTGTCGACGGCTTCAGTAGTGGGGGTGGTGTTGATGGCGGTGGTGTTGGTGGTGGAGTTGGTTGAGACAAGGGCGGCGTTACCGCCGTTCGTGGCGATGGGTCCGGTGGTGGTGGCGGCGGCGTCGACAGGATCAGTGGTGGCGGTGCCGTTGACGGCGGTGCTGGCGCTGCTGTCGGCGTGTGCCGAGTACGGAGGAGGAGGAGCGTCCGTGTAGTCGTCGTCGTCGTCGCTGTCGGCATCGGCGATGGCGGCGATGGCGGCGTGTGGCGGTGGCGGCGAGGCCTCGGCCTCTCCGGCAATCCGAGCGGCGTCGGCGTCGTCGGCGGGCAGCAGCGCCGCGACGCACTCGCTGTACGGGGGCGGCTTCAGCTCGCCGCTCCCTGCCGAACGCAAAACACAAAGGGTCACCACCACCACCACCACCGCGTGCAGCCTTTAACAGACCGCTGGGGCTTGGGATTTAAAGAAAAAAAGAAAAGAAAAAATCGCCGCCGCCGCCTTTATCATCATCAGCAGCAGCGCTGCCGGCATTGACGTCAACATCATCATCATCAGCAGCGCCGCTGGCATCAACATCACCATCATCATCATCAGCAGCGCCGCCGCCATCGTCAACATCATCATCAGCAGCGCTGCCGTCATCGTCAACATCATCATCATCACCAGCAGCGCCGCCATCAACATCATCATCATCAGCATCGCCGCCGCCATCATCGTCATCAACATCAACATCATCATCATCAGCAGCGCTGCCGCCATCAACATCAACATCATCATCAGCAGCGCTGCCGCCATCAACATCAACATCACCATTAGTAGCGCTGTCGTCATCAACATCATCATCAGCAGCGCCTCCGCCATCATCGTCATCAACATCATCATCAGCAGCGCTGCCGGCATCATCGTCCGTCAACATCATCATCAGCAGCGCCGCCGCCGCCATCAACATCATCATCAGCAGCGCTGCCGGCATCATCGTCGTCAACATCATCATCAGCAGCGCCGCCAGCATCGTCGTCAACATCATCATCAGCAGCGCCTCCGCCGCCATCGTCGTCAACATCATCATCAGCAGCGCCGCCAGCATCGTCGTCATCATCATCATCATCAGCAGCGCCTCCGCCATCATCGTCATCAACATCATCATCAGCTCCGCCGCCATCGTCAACATCATCGTCATCAACATCATCATCAGCAGCGCCGCCGCCATCATCGTCATCAACATCATCATCAGCAGTGCCGCCGCCATCATCGTCGTCAACATCATCATCAGGAGAGCCGCCGCTGCCGCCATCGTCATCATCATCATCAGCAGTGCCTCCGCCATCATCGTCATCAACATCATCATCAGCAGCGCCTCCGCCATCATCGTCATCAACATCATCATCAGCAGAGCCGCCGCTGCCGCCATCGTCATCATCATCATCAGCAGTGCCTCCGCCATCATCGTCATCAACATCATCATCAGCAGTGCCTCCGCCATCATCGTCATCAACATCATCATCAGCAGCGTCGCCGCCATCATCGTTGTCAACATCATCATCAGCAGAGCCGCCGCTGCCGCCATCGTCATCATCATCATCAGCAGTGCCTCCGCCATCATCGTCATCAACATCATCATCAGTAGCGCCTCCGCCATCATCGTCATCAACATCATCATCATCAGCAGTGCCTCCGCCATCATCGTCGTCATCATCATCATCAGCAGCGCCGCCGCCATCATCGTCGTCATCATCATCATCATCAGCAGCGCCGCCATCATCGTCGTCAACATCATCATCAGCAGCGCCGCCGTCATCATCATCATCAGCAGCGCCGCCATCATCGTCGTCAACATCATCATCAGCAGCGCCTCCGCCATCATCGACATCAACATCATCATCAGCGGCGCCGCCATCATCGACATCAACATCATCATCAGCAGCGCCGCCATCATCATCATCAACATCATCATCAGCAGCGCCTCCGCCATCATCGTCATCAACATCATCATCAGCAGCAGCGCCTCCGCCATCATCGACATCAACATCATCATCAGCAGCGCCGCCGCCATCATCGTCATCAACATCATCATCAGCAGCAGCGCCGCCGCCATCATCGTCATCAAGATCATCATCAGCAGCGCCGCCGCCATCATCGTCATCAACATCATCATCAGCAGCAGCGCCTCCGCCATCATCGACATCAACATCATCATCAGCAGCGCTTCCGCCATCATCGTCGTCAACATCATCATCAGCAGCGCCTCCGCCATCATCGTCATCAACAACATCATCAGCAGCGCCTCCGCCATCATCGTCATCAACATCATCATCAGCAGCGCCGCCGCCATCATCGTCATCAACATCATCATCAGCAGCGCCTCCGCCATCATCGTCATCATCATCAGCAGCGCCGCCATCATCGTCATCATCATCATCATCAGCAGCGCCGCCGCCATCATCATCGTCAACATCATCATCAGCAGCGCCTCCGCCATCATCGTCATCAACATCATCATCAGCAGCGCCTCCGCCATCATCGTCATCAACATCATCATCAGCAGCGCCTCCGCCGTGTCGCTTCTGGCCAAGAGCGAACAGCTCAACCGACTTCCCCACGGCACCAGCACAGCGCTCAGCCGGGCTTTGGCGAGCGACAGGCGCGGCCACTACCCCTGGTGCACTCCGGTGACTACCCCTGGTCCACTCTGGTGACTACCCCTGGTGCACTCTGGTGACTACCCCTGGTGCACTCTGGTGACTACCCCTGGTCTACTCTGTGACTACCCCTGGTCCACTCTGTGACTACCCCTGGTCCACTCTGTGACTACCCCTGGTCTACTCTGTGACTACCCCTGGTGCACTCTGGTGACTACCCCTGGTGCACTCTGGTGACTACCCCTGGTCCACTCGGTGACTACCCCTGGTCCACTCTGTGACTACCCCTGGTCCACTCCGGTGACTACCCCTGGTCCACTCGGTGACTACCCCTGGTCTACTCTGTGACTACCCCTGGCCCACTCTGGTGACTACCCCTGGTCCACTCGGGTGACTACCCCTGGTCCACTCTGTGACTACCCCTGGCCCACTCTGGTGACTACCCCTGGTCCACTCGGGTGACTACCCCTGGTCCACTCTGTGACTACCCCTGGCCCACTCTGGTGACTACCCCTGGTCCACTCGGTGACTACCCCTGGTGCACTCGGGTGACTACCCCTGGGCCACTCGGTGACTACCCCTGGGCCACTCCGGTGCCGCGCGGCGCTCGGCTACGGAGAGAAGGGGGGGGCATCGCCGATGGCCCCCGGTTAGCGCCGACACCCCGGACGCTTCCGGCTCGTCATCATGAACCGGGCAGTGGCGGTGGCTTTGGCTTCGCTGCTGCTGAGCGTGGCTGCCCGCAGCGAATCGGCGCGCAGCGAATCGGCGCGGCGAGGGGTTGGTGGACCACCGCGTGCACAGACGGTTGTGAAACTCCCGGCGGAGCGTCCAGGAGGCGCTGTGCCACCGATTATCGTCGTCGTCGTCGTCATCGGCAGCATCAACCCTTCAGGTGAAGTCACGTGGGTAGAAAATAAAATATTAAAATAAATCACGACGTTTCTGGCGCCCGAAACGTCGCGAATTATTTGTATTTTATTTTCTACCCACGTGACTTTACCGAAAGAACCAAAGAGTCGAGATGTATTTGAGCAGCTATGTCGCTCGTTTTCAGAAGCAACCTGCCTGTCACAATTGATAGCTCAACGAGGAGGCCATCACGGAGAAATGAATAGCAGCACCCAAATGCTCTCAAACGCGTGGTGATGTTGATTCTAAATGTGGAGGGAAAAACTGGAGGACACGGAGAAAAATGCTTGCGACCTCGGGGAGAGAGACACGCAAACTGCAAATATACAGCAGGCGTCAGGGTCGGGATTGAACCCATGACCTCCTGTAGACCAGGCGAGGTAGTTAACATCTCCTAGCCACCGTGATGATGATGAGAGAGAGAGACACGCAGACTCCAAATATACAGCAGGTGTCAGGGTCGGGATTGAACCCACGACCTCCTGTATACCAGGCGAAGTAGTTAACATCTCCTAGCCACCATGATGATGATGAGAGAGAGAGACACGCAAACTCCAAATATACAGCAGGCGTCAGGGTCGGGATCGAACCCACGACCTCCTGTACACCAGGCGAGGTAGTTAACATCTCCTAGCCACCGTGGTGCCATCATAGCAGCTACCATTGTCTGCCGTACTGCACGTCCCGGAGGGAGACCCGGATTCGGATTCCGTTTCGGTGCCGGCACCAATGGCAGGAGGGACCGACCGTGCGGGCGGACGATGGCATCATAGGGTGGCGGTGGCGGCTCCAGCTGGCTGTAGGAGGGCGCCGGGGTGAGCGAGCGCGAGGGAGAGCCCGGGGAGCCGTCCTCCCTCGCCGAGTACCAATTGTACCACACGCGGCTCTAGCGGACACACACACAGAGACAGGGTGAGAGAGGTGTACCACACACACACACAGAGAGAGACACACACACAGACACACACACACAGACACACACACACACACAGCGCGAGAGAGAGAGACAGGGTGAGAGTTGTACCACACACACACACAGAGACACACACACACACACAGAGACAGGGTGAGAGAGTTGTACCACACACACACAGACACACACACAGAGACAGGGTGAGAGAGTTGTACCACACGAGGCTCTAGCGGACACACACACACACAGAGAGACAGGGTGAGAGAGTAGTACCACACACACACACAGAGAGACAGGGTGAGAGAGTTGTACTACACGCGGCTCTAGCACACACACACACAGAGACAGGGTGAGAGAGTAGTACCACACACACACACAGAGACAGGGTGAGAGAGTAGTACCACACACAGCTCTAGCACACACACACACACAGAGACAGGGTGAGAGAGGTGTACTACACGTAGCTCTAGCACACACACACACACAGAGACAGGGTGAGAGAGTAGTACCACACACAGCTCTAGCACACACACACACACAGAGACAGGGTGAGAGAGTAGTACCACACGTAGCTCTAGCACACACACACACACAGAGACAGGGTGAGAGAGTAGTACCACACACACACACAGAGACAGGGTGAGAGAGTAGTACCACACACAGCTCTAGCACACACACACACACACAGAGACAGGGTGAGAGAGTAGTACCACACGTAGCTCTAGCACACACACACACACAGAGACAGGGTGAGAGAGTAGTACCACACGTAGCTCTAGCACACACACACACACACAGAGACAGGGTGAGAGAGTTGTACTACACGCGGCTCTAGCACACACACACACACAGAGGGTGAGAGAGACAGGGGGGGAATGGTACCACACTTATCACGAGGAAATTTCTAGCAGCTATCTCGTCTAGACACGTGTTTGATTTTAAATGTGGAGTGAAAAACCCGGAGGACCCGGGGAAAAATCCACACGACCACAAGGAGAACATGCTAACTCCGAATATAGAGCAGGCGTCAGGGTCAGGATCGAAACCATGTATCTCCAGTATACCAGGCGAAGTAGTTAACATCTCGCCCCTGTGAGTGAGCGTGCGGGAGTGAGCGAGAGTGAGTGAGTGTGAGAGAGGGAGGGTGCGAGTGTTTGAGCGTGCGAGTGAGTGTTTGAGCGTGCGAGTGAGCGAGCGTGCGAGTGAGCGAGCGTGCGAGTGTTTGAGCGAGAGTGAGCGAGCGTGCAAGTGAGTGTGCGTGCGAGTGTTTGAGCGTGCGTGTGAGTATTTGAGCGTGCGAGTGAGTGTGCGTGCGAGTGTTTGAGCGTGCGAGTGAGTGTGCGTGCGAGTGTTTGAGCGTGCGTGCGAGTATTTGAGCGTGTGAGTGAGCGTGCGTGTGAGTATTTGAGCGTGCGAGTGAGTGTGCGTGCGAGTGTTTGAGCGTGCGAGTGAGTGTGCGTGCGAGTGTTTGAGCGTGCGTGCGAGTATTTGAGCGTGTGAGTGAGTGTGCGTGTGAGTATTTGAGCGTGCGAGTGAGTGTGCGTGCGAGTGTTTGAGCGTGCGTGCGAGTATTTGAGCGTGTGAGTGAGCGTGCGTGTGAGTATTTGAGCGTGCGAGTGAGTGTGCGTGCGAGTGTTTGAGCGTGCGTGCGAGTATTTGAGCGTGTGAGTGAGCGTGCGTGTGAGTATTTGAGCGTGCGAGCGAGTGAGTGTGCGTGCGAGTGTTTGAGCGTGCGTGCGAGTGTTTAAGCGTGCGAGTGAGCGAGCGTGCGAGTGTTTGAGCGAGAGTGAGCGTGCGTGCGAGTGAGGGAGCGTGCGTGCGAGTGTTTGAGCGAGAGTGAGCGAGCGTGAGTGAGCGTGCATGCGAGCGAGAGTGAGGGAGCGTGAGTGAGCGAGCGTGTGAGTGTTTGAGCGAGCGAGTGTTTGAGCGAGCGCGAGTGTTTGAGCGAGCGAGTGTTTGAGCGTGCGAGTGTTTGAGCGAGAGCGAGTGTTTGAGCGTGCGAGTGTTTGAGCGTGCGAGTGTTTGAGCGAGAGCGAGTGTTTGAGCGTGCGAGTGTTTGAGCGAGTGTGTGAGCGTGAGTGAGTGAGCGTGAGTGAGCGAGCGTGTGAGTGTTTGAGCGAGTGTGTGAGCGAGCCTCACCGTGTGCCGCTGGTTGGCGGGGTGTGCGTAGGGGCGACCGCCGATGATGAGGATGCGCGCGTGGTCGGGGTCGTGCAGGAAGGCGTGCAGCTGGCGCTGCCGCGAGCGGTACCAGCACACGTAGAAGAGCACCTTGACCACGATGAACGCGATGACGATGCTGGTGGGGGCGGGGGTCGGGGGTCAAACATCGTGCGGGGTCAGGCGGGGGGGGGGGTCAGCGCCGTTCGGCCCCCTCCTCCCCCGTCGTCGCCGACTTCAACCGACGGACGATGGCCGTACTTCGCCGCGTCGGTCGGTGAAGGAGGAGCGGGTCGCGACACCTCGACACCGCGACACCGGTTCACCGGTGAACCGGATGGCGCTCCCCAACGCCGGCGTCGTCACACGCAAAGAACCTCGCACGAGCCGAGAGGTCAACCCTCCGCTGTCCTTTATGATTGTGCGCAAGCGTGAGTGTGTGTGCGTGTGTGTGCGTGCGTGTGTGCGTGTGTGCGTACGTGCGTGTGTGTGTGCGTGTGTACGTGTGTGTGCGTGTGCATGTGTGTGTTGCGTGTGTGTTACGTGTGTGCGTGCGTGTGTGTGCGTGTGTGTGTGTGAGCGTGTGCGTGTCTGTGCGTGTGAGTGCGGTGGGGAGCGGTGGTGTAGTGGTTAGCGCGCTGCGCTACGAACCCGGCGACCCGGGTTCGATTCTCGCTCACGGCCAACACCCAGTGACGATTATCTGAACCCTAGGTCGACTCGGCCTCAAATGAGTACCTGGTGCGGTGTGTAAACATCGCCGCTAGGGAGACAAAGGCGGCCGGGCGTGGTGTTGGCCACCCAGCCCCTCGTGTGCCGTGCCGGCCTTCATAGGTGCTCGCTAACAGCACTTGCCCCTACAGTCTGTCAAGGCTATACGGGAGATTTTTGTCTTTGTGCGTGTGCGTGCGTGCATTGGCATAGTAGGGGGGGCACAGGTGGTGCATCGGCCACTCATCTCAGTCGACCCGTGGCACCTGCTGGGTCTGCCCCGTGACCTCCTGCCAGCGGGCGTTCGACACTTCACGTGGCCTTAACATGGTGCACCTAGCCTGGCACGAGCGCCGTGGTGACGTCACCGCCACCGTTGATGTTGTTGTTGTGTCTGCGTGTGGCCCCTATCTCTGATGACTCTGGGTCGAGTGTCCACATCCCGATGGCCAAACCCTGCAGCTCACCACAGACTCACACGTCACTCACACACACGTGTGACGTCACTCACACACACGTGTGACAGCACTCACTCACACGTGTGACGTACTCACTCACACGTGTGACGTCACTCACACACACGTGTGACGTCACTCACACACGTATGACGTCACTCACTCACACGTGTCACTCACACGTGTCACTCACACGGGTCACTCACACGTGTGACGTCACTCACACGTGTGACGTCACTCACTCGCACGTGTGACGTCACTCACTCGCACGTGTGACGTCACTCACACAGAACTCACTCACACGGGTGACGTCACTCACACGGGTGACGCCACTCGCACGTGTGACGCCACTCGCACGTGTGACGCCACTCGCACGTGTGACGCCACTCGCACGTGTGACGTCACTCGCACGTGTGACGTCACTCACTCGCACGTGTGACGTCACTCACACTCACTCGTGTGACGTCACTCACTCACACGTGTGCCAGTACTCACATGTACCAGTAAATCTCCATGTCACCGACTGCTGGCGCCTCCCCGCCGGCTCCGGGCGCTGGCGGCGGCGGCGGCGCTGAGCTCAGCGTGGCCGAGACCGTCACCGTCACCGCGACCGTCACCGCGACCACGCCGGTCCTGCCGAGGGAGGAGCGTCAGCGGTTGCACCCCCCCCGCATCCCCCCTCCCCCCATCCCTCCCCATCCCTCCCCCCCATTCCCCCCCTCCCCCCATCCCTCCCCCCATCCCTCCCCCCCATCCTCCCCATCCCTCCCCCCATCCCTCCCTCCCATCGCTTCCCCCCCCATCCCCCCATCCCTCCCCCCCCATCCTCCCCATCCCTCCCCCCATCCCTCCCCCCCCATCCTCCCCATCCCTCCCCCCATCCCTCCCCCCATCCCTCCCCCCCATCCCCCCTCCCCCCATCCCTCCCCCCATCCCTCCCCATCCCTCCCCCCCCCATCCTCCCCATCCCTCCCCCCATCCCTCCCCCCATCCCTCCCCCCATCCCCCCTCCCCCCATCCCTCCCCCCATCCCTCCCCATCCCTCCCCCCATCCCTCCCCCCCCATCCTCCCCATCCCTCCCCCCATCCCTCCCCCATCCCTCCCCCCCATCCCCCCTCCCCCCATCCCTCCCCCCATCCCTCCCCATCCCTCCCCCCATCCCTCCCCATCCCCCCTCCCCCCCATCCATCCCCCCCCATCCCTCCCCCCCCCATCCCCCCCATCCCTCCCTCCAATTCCCTACCAACGCCCCCCATCCCTCCCACCCCCTCCACGCACCCCCTGTGCCTTGATCAGCTCAGGGGGTCCGTTGGAAGCCCCAATACAGGGACTCCTCGACTTACGAACGAGTTCTGTTCGTAAGTCGAATTGTTCGTGAACGCCAACTTCACCCCTGTCGATTCCAAACGCGTTGTACGGCGTGTGCACTAAACACGGGGAGTGGCCTTAAAAGTTGTTTACTCTCCTGCAGATGTAGATGCCACTGGTTCTTCGCGTTCTGCAGATGTAGATGCCACTGGTTCTTCATGTTCTGCAGATGTAGATGCCACTGGTTCTTCACGTTCTGCAGATGTAGATGCCACTGGTTCTTCATGTTCTGCAGATGTAGATGCCACTGGTTCTTCACGTTCTGCAGATGTAGATGCCACTGGTTCTTCACGTTCTGTAGATGTAGATGCCACTGGTTCTTCACGTTCTGTAGATGTAGATGCCACTGGTTCTTCACGTTTTGCAGATGTAGATGCCACTGGTTCTTCACGTTCTGCAGATGTAGATGCCACTGGTTCTTCACGTTCTGTAGATGTAGATGCCACTGGTTCTTCACGTTTTCCAGATGTAGATGCCACTGGTTCTTCACGTTCTACAGATGTAGATGCCACTGGTTCTTCACGTTCTGTAGATGTAGATGCCACTGGTTCTTCATGTTCTGCAGATGTAAATGCCACTGGTTCTTCACGTTCTGCAGATGTAGATGCCACTGGTTTCTTCACGTTCTACAGATGTAGATGCCACTGGTTCTTCACGTTCTGCAGATGTAGATGCCACTGGTTCTTCATATTCTGCAGATGTAGATGCCACTGGTTCTTCACGTTCTGCAGATGTAGATGCCACTGGTTCTTCACGTTCTGCAGATGTAGATGCCACTGGTTCTTCAAGTTCTGCAGATGTAGATGCCACTGGTTCTTCACGTTCTACAGATGTAGATGTCACTGGTTCTTCACGTTCTGCAGATGTAGATGCCACTGGTTCTTCATGTTCTGCAGATGTAGATGCCACTGGTTCTTCACGTTCTGCAGATGGAGATGCCACTGGTTCTTCACGTTCTGCAGATGTAGATGCCACTGGTTCTTCACGTTCTGCAGATGTAGATGCCACTGGTTCTTCAAGTTCTGCAGATGTAGATGCCACTGGTTCTTCACGTTCTACAGATGTAGATGCCACTGGTTCTTCATATTCTGCAGATGTAGATGCCACTGGTTCTTCACGTTCTGCAGATGTAGATGCCACTGGTTCTTGACGTTCTGCAGGTGTAGATGCCACTGGTTCTTCACGTTCTGCAGATGTAGATGCCACTGGTTCTTCACGTTCTGCAGATGTAGATGCCACTGGTTCTTGACGTTCTGCAGGTGTAGATGCCACTGGTTCTTCACGTTTTGCAGACGTAGATGCCACTGGTTCTTCACGTTTTGCAGATGTAGATGCCACTGGTTCTTCACGTTTTGCAGATGTAGATGCCACTGGTTCTTCACGTTCTGCAGATGTAGATGCCACTGGTTCTTCACGTTCTGTAGATGTAGATGCCACTGGTTCTTCACGTTCTGCAGATGTAGATGCCACTGGTTCTTCACGTTCTGCAGATGTAGATGCCACTGTTTCTTCATCTCCTGTAAATGTAGATGCCACTGGTTCTTCACGTTCTGCAGATGTAGATGCCACTGGTTCTTCATCTCCTGTAAATGTAGATGCCACTGGTTCTTCACGTTCTGCAGATGTAGATGCCACTGGTTCTTCACGTTCTGCAAATGTAAATGCCACTGTTTCTTCATCTCCTGTAAATGTAGATGCCACTGGTTTTTCACGTTCTGCAGATGTAGATGCCACTGGTTCTTCAAGTTCTGCAGATGTAGATGCCACTGCTTCTTCACGTTCTGCAGATGTAGATGCCACTGGTTCTTCACGTTCTGCAGATGTAGATGCCACTGGTTCTTCACGTTCTGCAGATGTAGATGCCACTGGTTCTTCAAGTTCTGCAGATGTAGATGCCACTGGTTCTTCATGTTCTGCAGATGTAGATGCCACTGGTTCTTCATATTCTGCAGATGTAGATGCCACTGGTTCTTCACGTTCTGCAGATGTAGATGCCACTGGTTCTTGACGTTCTGCAGATGTAGATGCCACTGGTTCTTCACGTTCTGTAGATGTAGATGCCACTGGTTCTTCATGTTCTGTAGATGTAGATGCCACTGGTTCTTCACGTTCTACAGATGTAGATGCCACTGGTTCTTCATGTTCTGCAGATGTAGATGCCACTGGTTCTTCGCGTTCTGCAGATGTAGATGCCACTGGTTCTTCACGTTCTGTAGATGTAGATGCCACTGGTACTTCACGTTCTGCAGACGTAGATGCCACTGGTTTTTCACGTTCTACAGATGTAGATGCCACTGGTTCTTCACGTTCTACAGGTGTAGATGCCACTGGTTCTTCATATTCTGCAGATGTAGATGCCACTGGTTCTTCATATTCTGCAGATGTAGATGCCACTGGTTCTTCGCGTTCTGCAGATGTAGATGCCACTTGTTCTTCACGTTCTGTAGATGTAGATGCCACTGGTACTTCACGTTCTGCAGACGTAGATGCCACTGGTTCTTCACGTTCTACAGATGTAGATGCCACTGGTTCTTCACGTTCTACAGGTGTAGATGCCACTGGTTCTTCACGTTCTGCAGATGTAGATGCCACTGGTTCTTCATATTCTGCAGATGTAGATGCCACTGGCTCTTCATTTTCTGCAGATGTAGATGCCACTGGTTTTTCATATTCTGCAGATGTAGATGCCACTGGTTCTTCATTTTCTACAGATGTAGATGCCACGACCGCCATCTATTGCGCGGCAATTTAAAGACAAATACCTCCCCTGCGCATGATAGCCTTCAGAGACTGTTGGGGCAAGTGCTGTTAGCGAGCACCTATGAAGGCCGGCACGGCACACGAGGGGGTGGGTGGCCAGCACCACGCCCGGTCGCCTTTGTCTCACCAGTGGCAAGGCTTACGACACACCGCACCAGGTACTCATTTAAGGCTGAGTCGACCTAGGGGAGGCCCAGGACCGGTTCAGATAATCGTCACTGGGTGTTGGCCGTGAGCGGGAATCGAACCCGGGTCGCCAGGATCATAGCGCAGTGCGCTAACCGCTACACTACCGCTCCCCACACACACAAACACAGACACACACACACGCACAGGCACACACAGGCACACGCACACACACAGGCACACACACATCCACGCACACAGAGCTACACGCACACACAGACACAAAAACACACACACAGAGACACACAGAGCCACGCACACAGGCACAGACACACGCACACAGGCACACACACACAACAACAACCGCCATTCGCCACTAAGTGGCGGTGCCAGGCCATGTGCACCTTGAGGCCACGTGAAGTGTCGAACGCCCGCTGGCAGGAGGTCACGGGGCAGACCCAGGTGCCACGGGTCGACTGACTGATGCACTACCTGTGCCCCCTACTATGCCAACTTGCTGTGCTTTAGCCACCCGGCGCTCCACTCGTTGTTGTGAGCGTCGCTCCTCCGCCCCCCGTTGTTGTTGGAGGGCGACTGCCTCCAACTGCCCAGTAGCGTCCTTCACAGAGGCTGATCTTGACACCGCTGGTACCCGTCATCGGCAAGTCCACTCAGCTCCACGTCCTCCTGTACCACATCACTCCATCTCTTCTCTAGCCCGTGCCGCGCCCGTTTAGCCCCCTCGATCCGGCCGAACAAAAGCTGTTTAGGCATGCGGTGGCTGGGCATGAGGGCTACATGACCCAGCCAACGCAGCCTTGCCTGCCGGAGGAGCTCACCGATGGGACTTTGCCCAGACACACACAGACACGCACACACAGACACACACACACACACGGCTCTCGTAGCCGACTCCAAACGATCACGGATGTGGGCTGAATCAAATCGATATCCCCTGCACTCTCCACTCGCACGAGAGTCGCACGAAATGTGAAGAGGTGAAGTGAGCATCCCAATGCGAGTGATGTGCTCGCAACATTGGCAGCCCAAGGACTTGCCAGTACCGCTACTGCGATGGCCTATGTGGTGGTTGTTGTTGTTGTTGTCTTGTTGTTTTTGTTGTTGTCTTGGTGTGGCACTGTTGTTGTTGTTGTCTTGGTGTGGCACTGTTGTTGTTGTCTTGGTGCTTTCGCTGTTGTCTTGGTGTGGCACTGTTTCTGTTGTTGTTGTTGTCTTGGTGTGGTCTGTGGTTGTGGTTGTTGTTGTTGTCTTGGTGTGGCACTGTTGTTGTGGTTGTTGTTGTTGTCTTGGTGTGGGCTGGGACTGTTGTTGTCTTGGTGTGGTCTGTGGTTGTTGTTGTCTTGGTGTGGTCTGTGGTTGTTGTTGTTGTTGTTGTTGTTTTCTTGGTGTGGGCTTGGACTGTTGTTGTCTTGGTGTGGTCTGTGGTTGTGGTTGTTGTTGTTGTCTTGGTGTGGTCTGTGGTTGTTGTTGTTGTTGTTTTCTTGGTGTGGGCTGTGGTTGTTGTTGTTGTCTTGGTGTGGTCTGTGACTGTTGTTGTTGTTGTTGTCTGCGTATGGTCTGGGACTGTTGTTGTTTAGCTCCCTTGCCCCAAGCTTGCATTTGGTGTTGCCAAATCGGCAGGAATGTATCCACTTGTGCAATGTGTGCACTCCCACACTCAATGCACATTCACTCAGAGCGGCTTGATTTCAACTCTCCTCCACATCGCTCCAACATCGTCGTCGTCTGCATCGTCTGTTCATATCGACTTCACTTGGACATCCGTTACAAAGAGCTTAAGAGCTCATCAGATTCCAGCAGTTGAAAGGAAGATTCTGATCATTCTGCACCCTTTTGGGCCCTCCACGTTATAAAGACAAATACCTCCCCTGCGCATGATAGCCTTCAGAGACTGTTGGGGCAAGTGCTGTTAGCGAGCACCTATGAAGGCCGGCACGGCACACGAGGGGGTGGGTGGCCAGCACCACGCCCGGTCGCCTTTGTCTCCCCAGTGGCGAGGCTTACGACACACCGCACCAGGTACTCATTTGAGGCTGAGTCGACCTAGGGGAGGCACAGGACCGGTTCATATAATCGTCACCGGTGTTGGCCGTGAGCGGGAATTGAACTCGGGTCGCCGGGTTCGTAGCGCAGCGCGCTAACCGCTACACTAGCAACCTCACACAACAACCGCCCATTCGCCACAAAGTGGCGGTGACGTCACCGCGGCGCTTGTGCCAGGCTACGTGCACGTTGAGGCCACGTGAAGTGTCGAACGCCCGCTAGCAGGAGGTCACGGGGCAGACCCAGGTGCCACGGGTCGACTGACTGAGACGAATGGCTGATGCACCACCTGTGCCCCCTACTGTGCCAACTTGCTGTGCTTTAGCCACCCGGCGCTCCGCTCGTTGTTGTGAGCGTCGCTCCTCTGCCCTCCGTTGTTTGGGGAGGGCGACTGCCTCCAACTGCCCAGTAGCAGCAGCAGCGTCCTTCACGAGCCTCCTCCATTTCATCATCATCATCATCACAAACTCCACCACTATCATTGACCCCCATCTATCCCATCAGAATAATGACCACCATCATCACAATCACTATGACCACCACAATCACCACCAATCATCGCCATCCACTCCTCCACCACCATCATCAACATGACCACCATCATCACAATCACTATGACCACCACAATCACCACCAATCATCGCAATCCACTCCTCCACCACCATCATCAACATGACCACCATCATTACAATCAAAGACAAACATTCCCTCCACCACCCTGTTAGGGCAAGCGCTGTTAGCGAGCACCTATTAAGGGCCATGGTCAAAACCACGCCCGGCCGCCTTTGTCTCCCCAGCGGGGTGGGGGATGTGGGGTTCGTAGCGCGAACCACTTCGCCCACCGCTCCACCATCACCCATCAACACCAAAGACAAAGACCCCCCGTACAGCCTTAACGGACTTCGGGGCCAAGTGCTGTCAGCGAGTGCCCGTCTATCATCAACAACAACAACAACCGCCGCTGATATTCGCCACTAGGTGGCGCTGATGTCACCGCGGCGCTCGTGCCAGGCTAGGTGCACGTTGAGGCCACGTGAAGTGTCGAACGCCCGCTGGCAGAAGGTCGCTTCCCAACGCCACCACCACCACCAACCACCACCACCACCACCATCAACCACCACCACCACCAACCACCACCACCACCACCACCAACCACCACCACCACCAACCACCACCCACAACCACCACCAACCACCAACCACCAACCACCACCACCACCGCCACCCACCACCGCCACCCACCACCGCCAACCACCACCACCACCACCACCACCACCACCAACCACCACCAACCACCACCACCATGAACCACCAACCACCACCCACCACCACCATCAACCACCAACCACCACCACCACCAACCACCACCAACCACCACCACCACCAACCACCACCACCAACCACCACCACCACCACGACGACGATGATCGATGCCGGATGATCCTCGTAGCAAAAGTCGCTACAAATGTTTTCAAGGGCTATCAATTCCGGTGCATTGATTCTGCACTTGCTCTATTACTATAGTACTATACCGCCTTCGACTTTTACGAACGACCGGGTGTTTAAGGATAGCGATTTGTCGTATTATCTGGCTGTATAGCGAATGCAAAAATACAATTACTTTACTGTGCGAGTAAACATTTTGTGTTTTAATATTTAAGTGTTTTTTTTTTTATTATGGCCCTTTGTAACTTATGCTACAGGCCCCGCACTAACTTGGTCCGGCACTTAAGACGACGATGGTGATGGAATGTAATCAACTCACCTGTACGGGCGGGAGAGGCTGCGATTCGGGGCTCAAACTCGAGCCACGGATCCTCGTGTGTCATTACACACAGAGACGACTTGCAGAGACACACACACACACACAGAGACGTGTCGAGTTACACACAGAGACGTGTCGAGTTACACACAGAGACGTGTCGAGTTACACACACAGAGGCGTGCAGAGAGTTACACACAGAGACGACTTGCAGAGAGACACACAGAGAGACGTGTCGAGTTACACACAGAGACGTGAAGAGTTACACACAGAGACATACACACAGAGCATCTATACATACAGAACATACACACAGAGCAGCTATACATACACATGTATACAAAGTTACACAAAGTGTCCCCACTCACAATGTGTACACACACACACGGAGATACACACAACCATGGTATGTACACCCATGTCGAACACACGGCAACGCGGACAACAGAAGGCAGCACACACGCACACCCCAGTAGTTACACACACACACACCCCAGTAGCTACACACACACACCAGTGACCACACACACACACACACCAGTAATTACACACACACACACCAGTGACTACACACACACCAGTAGACACACACACACACCAGTAGATACACACACACACACCAGTAGTTACACACACACACCCCAGTAGCTACACACACACACACCCCAGTAGCTACACACACACACACCAGTGACTACACACACACCAGTAGATACACACACACACACCAGTAGATACACACACACTAGTGGCTACACACACACACACTAGTGGCTACACACACACACACTAGTGGCTACACACACCCCAGTGACTACACACACACCAGTAGTTACACACACACACACCAGTAGATACACACACACACACACCAGTGACTACACACACACACACACCAGTAGTTACACACACACACACCAGTAGTTACACACACACACCAGTAGATACACACACACACACTAGTGGCTACACACACACACACCAGTAGATACACACACACACACACCAGTAGATACACACACACACCAGTAGTTACGCACACACACACACCAGTGACTACACACACACATACACACACACTAGTGACTACACACACACCCCAGTGACTACACACACACCAGTAGTTACACACACACACACCAGTAGATACACACACACACCAGTGACTACACACACACACACACCAGTAGTTACACACACACACCAGTGACTACACACACACACACCAGTAGTTACACACACACCAGTGACTACACACACACACGCACCAGTGACTACACACACACACACACCAGTAGTTACACACACACACACACTAGTGACTACACACACACACCAGTAGTTACACACAAACACACCAGTGACTACACACACACACACCAGTAGTTACACACACACACACCCCAGTAGCTACACACACACATACCAGTGACTACACACACACACACCAGTGACTACACACACACACACCAGTGACTACACACACACACACTAGTGACTACACACACACACACTAGTGGCTACACACACACACACTAGTGGCTACACACACACACACCCCAGTAGTTACACACACACACACCAGTAGTTACACACACACACACCAGTGACTACACACACACACACACAGTAGTTACACACACACCCCAGTAGTTACACACACACACACCAGTAGTTACACACACACACACACCAGTAGTTACACACACACACACACACCAGTGACTACACACACACACACCAGTAGATACACACACACACCAGTAGTTACACACACACTAGTGGCTACACACACACACACCAGTGACTACACACACACACACACCAGTGACTACACACACACCAGTAGTTACACACACACTAGTAGTTACACACACACACCAGTAGATACACACACACACACCAGTAGTTACACACACACACACCAGTAGATACACACACACACACACCAGTAGATACACACACACACACACCAGTAGATACACACACACCAGTAGATACACACACACACCAGTAGATACACACACACACACACACCAGTAGATACACACACACCAGTAGATACACACACACACACACACCAGTAGATACACACACACCAGTAGATACACACACACACCAGTAGATACACACACACACACCAGTAGATACACACACACCAGTAGATACACACACACACCAGTAGATACACACACACACACCAGTGACTACACACACGCGCGCAAAGTTACAAAAGTCGCGTACACACGGAGACGTGCAGAGATGAACGACACAAAGAGCTCGTGCTCGCAAGGCGGAGAGAGAGAGGAACAGAGAGAGGCACAGAGAGAGAGAGGAGAGAGAGGCAGAGAGAGAGGCACAGAGAGAGAGGCACAGAGAGAGAGGCACAGAGAGAGAGGCACAGAGAGAGAGGCACAGAGAGAGAGGCACAGAGAGAGAGGCACAGAGAGAGAGGCACAGAGAGAGAGGCACAGAGAGAGAGGCACAGAGAGAGAGGCACAGAGAGAGAGGCACAGAGAGAGAGGCACAGAGAGAGAGGCACAGAGAGAGAGGCACAGAGAGAGAGCGAGAAGGGCTGCGTGCAGAACGAGAGAGAGCGAGCGAGAGGTGGGGAGGTGGGGCTTTACACAAAGCAGAGTTTAAAAATGTAATTTAATTTTTTTTTACGGAATGATGAACGAAGCAAAGTGCCGAATACACCGAGCATCTTCTTGTTTCCACTGATCGTAAAAAAAAGGGAGAGAGAGAGGGAGAGAGTGAGATGCTAAGAGAGGGGGGAAGAGAGATGGGGGCAAAGAGAGGGGGGGGGGCAGAGAGAGGGGGTCAGAGAGAGGGGGAGGCTAAGAGAGGGGGGGCAGAGAGGGGGGGCAGAAAGGGGGGCAGAGAGAGAAGGGGGGGCAGAGAGAGGGGGGGCAGAGAGATGGAGGCAGAGAGAGGGGGAGGCTAAGAGAGAGGGGGTCAGAGAGAGGGGAAGGCTAAGAGAGGGGGAGGCTAAGAGAGGGGGGGCAGAGAGAGAGGGGGCAGAGAGAGGGGAAGGCAGAGAGAGGGGGAGGCTAAGAGAGGGGGGGCAGAGAGAGAGGGGGCAGAGAGAGGGGAAGGCAGAGAGAGGGGGAGGCTAAGAGAGGGGGGGCAGAGAGAGGGGGACAGAGAGGGGGGGGCTAAGAGAGGGGGGCAGAGAGAGGGGGGGGCAGAGAGAGGGGGAGGCTAAGAGAGGGGGGCAGAGAGAGGGGGAGGCAGAGAGAGGGGGGGCAGAGAGAGGGGGACAGAGAGGGGGGGGGCTAAGAGAGGGGGGCAGAGAGAGGGGGAGGCAGAGAGAGGGGGAGGCTAAGAGAGGGGGGCAGAGAGAGGGGGAGGCAGAGAGAGGGGGAGGCTAAGAGAGGGGGGCAGAGAGAGGGGGAGGCAGAGAGAGGGGGAGGCTAAGAGAGGGGGGGGCAGAGAGAGGGGGACAGAGAGGGGGGGGGGGCAGAGAGCGAGAGAGTGGGATGAAGACGGCTGCTGAGGAGTTGTGGAACTGCGCTCGCCGCTCGCCCAGGGCGGGTTGGGTGAGTGGAGCAGCAAAGACAAAAGATTCCACACACACACATACACACACATACACACACATACACACATTCATATACACACATTCATATACACACATTCATATACACACATTCATACACACACATACATATATACACACACACATACACACACACACATACACACTCACATACACACATTCATATACACACACACACATACACACACTCACATACACACACACACATACACACATTCACACACTCACATACACACACACATACACACACTCACATACACACATTCACACACATACACACACTCACTCATACACACACTCACACATACACACATACACACACACGTACACACACACGTACACACACACGTACACACACTCACATACACACATATACACACACATACACACACATACACATACATAGACATACACTCACACACACATCCACACACATCCCCACACACACACACACACATCCACACACATCCACACACAACAACCGCCATTCGCCACTAAGTGGCGGTGACGTCACCACGACGCTTGTGCCAGGCCATGTGCACCTTGAGGCCACCACGTGAAGTGTCGAACGCCCGCTGGCAGGAGGTCACGGGGCAGACCCAGCAGGTGCCACGGGTCGACTGACTGAGATGACCGAGATGACTGGCTGATGCACCACCTGTGCCCCCTACTGTGCCAACTTGCTGTGCTTTAGTCACCCGGCGCTCCGCTCGTTGTTGTGAGCGTCGCTCATCCGCCCTCCGTTGTTGCTGGAGGGCGACTGCCTCCAACTGCCCAGACACATCCACACACGAACACACGCACACACACACACGAACACACACACGCACACGAACACACACACGTACACACACACGCACACACATACACACACACATCCACACATCCCCACACACACATCCCCTCCGCCTCGGACGGCTGCCTGATGAAGGCCGCTTGCGTCGCGATCGAAACGTCGCGGGTTTTTTTTTCGCTTTTATTTTTTGTTCAATTTATTCTTTTACATTTTTTATTTCAGAAATGTTTTTATTTGCATTGTATTTCCTATCTACGCGACTTTACCGAAAGAGCCAAGAAGATGAATTCCTCAAAATTTTACAGACGGCCAAATGCCCTTGGCGATGTGGGTCAGGGGTTGTGGGTCAGGGGTTGTAGGTCAGGGGTTGTAGGTCAGGGGTTGTGGGTCAGGGGTTGTGGGTCAGGGGTTGTGTGTCAGGGGTTGTGAGTCAGGGGTTGTGGGTCAGGGGTTGTAGGTCAGGGGTTGTGGGTCAGGGGTTGTGGGTCAGGGGTTGTAGGTCAGGGGTTGTAGATCAGGGGTTGTGGGTCAGGGGTTGTGTGTCAGGGGTTGTGGGTCAGGGGTTGTGGGTCAGGGGTTGTGGGTCAGGGGTTGTGGGTCAGGGGTTGTGGGTCAGGGGTTGTGGGTCAGGAGTTGTGGGTCAGGAGTTGTGGGTCAGGGGTTGTGGGTCAGGGGTTGTGGGTCAGGGGTTGTAGGTCAGAGGTTGTGGGTCAGGGGTTGTGGGTCAGGGGTTGTGGGTCAGGGGTTGTAGGTCAGAGGTTGTGGGTCAGGGGTTGTGGGTCAGGGGTTGTGGGTCAGGAGTTGTGGGTCAGGAGTTGTGGGTCAGGGGTTGTGGGTCAGGGGTTGTGGGTCAGGGGTTGTAGGTCAGAGGTTGTGGGTCAGGGGTTGTGGGTCAGGGGTTGTGGGTCAGGGGTTGTGGGTCCAACCGTGAGGGTGGAGGTTGGGTGCGAGCGTCAATAGACATTTTGTTTGTTTCATTCTCATAAACTCTGGAATTCATGAACACAGGCAACGCCGTTATCCCTTGCAGCCATAACCACCACCCCCCTCCACTCCAACCTCCCCCTCTCCAACCCACCCACTCTAAAACCCCCACCTCTCCACCCCCCTCCACCCCCTCTCCACCCCCGCCTCTCCACCCCATCCACATCTCCCCCTCCTCTCCTCTCCCCCGCCTCTCCACCCCCCTCCACCCCCTCCACCTCTCCCCCACCTCTCCACCCCCCCTCCTCTCCACCCCTCCCCTCCCTCTCCACCCCCTCCTCTCCCCCCACCCCTCCTCTCCCCCCTCTCCACCTCTCCCCCCTCTCCACCCCCCTACACCCCCTCCTCTCCCCCCACCTCTTCACCCCCCTCCACCTCTCCACCCCCCCACCTCTCCCCCCACCTCTCCACCTCCCTCCTCCACCTCTCCACCCCCTCCTCTCCCCCCACCTCTCCACCCCCTCCTCTCCCCCCTCTCCACCCCCTCCACCCCCCCCTGTCCACCCCCCTCCACCCCCCACCCCCCCCCCCCTTGTCCACCCCCCCTCCCCCCCCCTCTCCCCCCCTCCCCCACGGTAAAACGTTGAGTCTGCAAGATGTTCCTCTCCACGTGGAATCAACGCCGGGACGAGTCCATGGCCCCAAGTTTAGACTTTCACGCCACCAGCCGGCACCACCCCCAGCAGGAGCAGCAGCAGCAAACAAACAACGCATTTACATTTGTCGGGCAGCCACGGAGTTTATGAACCCAGGAAAAAAAATTGCAGCACAGTTGAGAGGGGAGGGATGGAGGAGAGGGAGATGGGGGAGTGAGGGCAGGGGAGGGAGCTAGTGGTGGCAGCTGCAGGAATTCCCGGACTTTAGCCCGGAAATCTCAAGTGATGGGGCGATGCGTTTCCACCACTTCCCCCGACTGCGCGCCGCGATGATTTGGGGTGCGGCGGTCGGGGTCGAGGAAAAACAAAAACCTCCGCCGCGTCCGTCACTCCCATCGTGACAGGTCAACCCAGAGCCGGTGCTGCCGCTTGCAACCGAATGGCGTACGAGGCTCGGGCTGAGATTTGACACTTGAGGATGCGACCGATCCGACAGCCGGAATAACGGAGTGGAGACGCGATGGATGGGGCCACCAAGACCGAGTGGTTTGGGCTTTTTATTTACACGCTTTGTCTGTTGTTGTTGTATCCTCAAATCTTGTAACTCAATTTGAACCCACTTCCCAATGTGGTATCCACTGCAAACTTGGTATACTTATGTCAAACTGATGACAATACTATATGCTCTATGGGGACCTCATTTGCCAGTAAAAATATGATAATTGGTTCTTTACCCTGTTGCCAGATAGAAGGGTAAAGAACCAATTATCAATACTATATGCTATCATAAAAAAAACTATTTTTAAACATTATTTTTTATATGTTATGTTTCGGCTTGGGTCTAATTGTCCACGCTCAACTGACGTTGGCTGTAATTGGCCACGGCACCTTACGTTGTGGCAAACTTCGGGGCCACTTCCTGGAGTCGTGGAGTTCTTCCATTACTCTTACATTTCAATAAAGCGTGTTTAAAAAAACGTTTTTTAAAATATTACTTATTTTACTTCCTTCCCTCGCGTTCGCGCCGGACGGATCGTCGCGATGATGTCGTCGTCATCGCCGTTGGGTTGTGTTTGGCGCGTGCCGTCGGGGTTACGATGCCCGACGTTTGTTCGGGCACGGAGTCCGGAATTGTTCGGTGAAAGCTGCACCTTTTAGGAATATTGGCTTCTCGAACGACGCTCCGGAGCGCGTGGCGAGCGAAAAGGCTGGGGACGACACGCGGTAACGCCGCGAAAACATCAGCCTGCAAGAGCGGGGAACCTGTCAAATACTCGATTTAAAGCTTTCGTGACTGCAGGGATTCATCTTCTTGGTTCTTTCGGTAAAGTCACGTAGAAGGGAAATAATAAAATAATAAAAAATAAACATAATCAAATAATTATATTTAAAGCTTTCGTGACTGCAGGGATTCATCTTCTTGGTTCTTTCGGTAAAGTCACGTAGAAGGGAAGTAATAAGATAAAAACATAATAAAAAATTCTCACGTTTCGGCCACAACACAAGCAGCCGTCCTCAGGTGAAGAAACAGCTGTCGGAAAGACAGCGTCCCAAATGGGAAC